CTGCACCTCCAACAAACAGACAAATTAGGGAAGCTCACTGGTAAAAATGCAATTTTCTTGTATCAAAATCCAAAGTGAAAAATGAGGCAGAACGTAGGCATCGAAGAAGTGAGAAGGACGCTGAAATCTCTCTGGAAACAACCTGACCTTTCCCACAGAGGCTGGTCTAATAAAAGAAGTTGGTGGGAATACAGCACATGGCGTTACTCACATGTTGGAGGCCTGTTCAGAGCCTTTGCAACATCAACCATGTTGACAATGACCGTCTTGATTCCATTCCCTTTGCCTTCCACCTGGATTAAAGGAGGAAACGATGAAAGAGACAAACATCAGACTCCACAACTACAAAGTTCCACGACTAAAAGCCGCCTCAGGCAGCTACAGGCTGATTTCAGTGACGCTCCGTCCTCTCTGAGTTTAGTTTATTACCTTGGCAATCAGACGGGGCATCTTGTAGCGATAGAACTGGTCTGACACGCTGCGGTTGACGTTGACAGACATTTTGGCTGGATGTTAGCACTATCAGTAAGATAAAAGGATCTTGGTTGGGGATTTTTCGGGATCTTCTGTCTGGAAAAGAGGGGATGACATAAACGACTGCAAGCGTGCTCGGTCTCTGACATGAAAAACGTTGTGCCGCTGTGGCCGCAAGCTCCTTGCTTGAAGGCTAGATTTCCACCACACAGGTTCCAACGGCTGCGCAACAGCTCTGAAAGGAGAGAGGGACAAACGTCGATCAATAATTAATAAAGAAAACCAACAGTTCATGTGTGACTGAACAGAGATTATTATAACCAAAAGCTGCCCTGAATGCAGAGCAGCGTGACACAGCTGTAGAGATGCTGTTGTGTTTTAAGGTCTGTGCCAGCAATCAGACATCTGTAAAATATTTACTGGAGTCTGATGAGTGACTCATCCCTGCAGTTGTTCTTCTAAAGCAAAAATGTCCAAAATCACCACTTTGAGTTTCTATTCTGGTTCAGATTTCAACAATTTTCTGACTGGTACAGTTTTTAAATCAGACAGAAAACTAATTTTTGGAGGTTTCAAACAGATAATCTGATACAATAAACTATCTGAAGACATGATTAAGGATCCAGTGGCTCTTTAGTGTTTTTTTTCCACTGCTTTCTCAAGAGTTTATAAACTTAGACTATATGCAAAGTAAAAAATATATAATAGAAATCCTTTTTGATAGATGCTGTGTCATGATTTTAATGATTTTTTAAAAATATTTTGCATTTCTTCTCTACTTAAAAAATAAGATTATATAATAGCTGCTGTGGTCAGGTATGTTTCCTTGCATTCAGTAAATATGTTTTCCATCTCTGTAGCACCATAATGCTGTATTATATATTACCTGTAACAAACAATTGCTGCTCCTGCAACTTGCATTTGGCCAATTGTTCAGTTTATTTATTAAAAAAAAAACGAAAAATGAATCAAAATGAAAATTAGCAGCTGCAGCTCTGATTACAGTTTATTCTGATTAAATTTGTTTGTGTGCTTTATAATTCACAATCCACAGGAGCGTAGTGAAACTGATTCCTGCGGCGCATAATGATCCTTGAGTGACTGCCACTATTTAGACTGAGCAGGAAAATTCCTGACACAGATCCAAACCAGAAGAAAAGCCAACAGAGGATCCAGTGACTCGGAGACAGCTGACGTTACTGCAGAGTCCCCAACATGAATATTTCTCAACTTAAGCGAGTTTGAGCAGAAATTCCAGCAATGCTAATAGGGTTACACATGCAAAAAAAGGGGGGTTTGAAGCCTTCACACTCAGAAAATACTGTGAACAAAATGAATTCCACCAAATGCTCATGTGATCCAACAATGATCCAGCGTGACAGAAAGAAGAAAGCCACAAAACTGGATGCCTTCCCCACCTTTTGTGGCCATATAAGCACAAAAATGGCTTTGTGAAAGCCCTTTGTCTTACATGAGGGCCCCTGGCTTTAGTCATATAAGGCCTGCTCTGCTTTTTAATAGGTCACAAACAGGAGGCCTAGCAGCTGCCAAACAAACTCTCCCTCTGCTCAGGGCTTTAATTCCAATCAGACAGTCTGCAGTAGTTATTGTCCAACACGGATCCGAGTGATGTGACATGAAATGACTCGCAGGTGGTCTGCCGGGGAGGTGTTGGAGAGGGGCAGAGGTTGGGACTGCTTCAGCAGGAGGCTAGCTGTTAGCTTAGCATGCTGCTTGGTGCAGAGTGCGTCATACAGCCACTGCACACGAGTGACGGGACTGGGAGACGCCATTTTGATACAGTGGCACAGAAAACATGTCATATCGCTCATTAACGCCGACTGCTGCTCCGATAACATTAATAAAAGCTAATCACGAAATACATGTGTAGCTAAAAACGTGGGATATGCAGTGAAACGTGTGTGTGTGACTCACCGTTTTCGCAAAACAAAGACATAAACACAACGCTGATCGTCCAAGAGCCGCAGTGAACGGTGGTCGATGGCTGGTGCTGGTGTCGTATTGATTGCAGCAGGGCTTCTTAATGACTGTGTGGCTCTCAAAGATGCACAGCTAAACACCCTAAAGCGTCCAAACGGTGCAGGTGCCAGGCTCGGAGACGAAGGGAGACGATCCGGAACGTCCTCGGGGTTTTTCGGGGGACCTTTTAAGGGGAAGAAGAAGGGGATCGTTATCGATACAAACTGCGGACTAAAGCAGCATCATCATCGTCATCATCATCCTCATCATCATCATCACCATCAGGTGTGACGGCTGAGAGGTGGACAGCTCGGCTCGACAGTCACGTACAGTTTAAAACGACGATGAGGCGAATTCACATCGATCCCTAAACGCTCCGTTATGTCAAGTAGCGGTGAAAAGGTGACGCCAGCCAGCTAAGTGGCTAACGAGTTTAGTCGACAAATTCCCCGCGAATTACCTTTAAGACGTGGCCAAAAATATACGTAACCACGAGAATGAATTGTAACACTAAACACAGCTCCTTCGTCGGTTAGCTAAACATACAGATTGTGAAAGTAGTCGCCCATAGCGCTGGTGCTCCAGGAAATAGTCGGAGCCCAGATGCTAAAGCGAAGCCAACGCAGTTAGTAGCCAGGCGCAGTCGACGCCGTTACGGCAAAGATAACGTGATTAAGCGGCGTCTTCGTCGCTGGTTCGCTCGCTGCGGTTTCCCTGAAGAATTAGCGATATCGATGTGAAATCCGCGTCACGGTGGGCCGAGGTAAAAACGGAGAAATTATTTCGCACCTACCTCTCGAATGTTCTGCGAAACGCTGCTACTCACGTCGCTTTTACTGACCAACGTCAAGCTGACGGAGTTTACCGAAACTGCCCGAAGATGGCGTTCATTTCAAAATAAAAGCTGCCGAAGATCACGGTTATGTGATTTCAAAACAGGGCTGGAAGCAAAAAAGGAAACATTTATCACGATTAAATGCTTAATTTCAGTCGATTAACATCATAAATAACTTTTAATTGCCTATTTTTAAAATTAATCTCTATAATTGTTAACTATATAGGGTCCCCGTCCTGATGTAAGTCAAATACAGTAGTATTTCACATCATTTTGCAGCGTTTAATCCCTAATATGTAAATCATTCAGGTTTCATCACACCTTAAATAACATTACTCAGTTATACCTGCAATGTTAAGCCCTATTAGGTTACTTTCATAACACAAAGCATAATCCTTTTCACTGGAAGGCACTGTTACACAACAGCTGTTGTCTTAGAGGTGTTACATAAAACTGCTGTCTTGACTTCACTGATTTATCTTGTTTTGTTGCACAGTTGTAATGTTATTTATTTGTTTGACTTTGTTTTCATCATCTGTCAAATTTGACATTAGGTTTATTGTAAAGCACTTTTTAGTTTTGTTTCTGTGCATTGCAAATACAGTTTGTGTTGTTGTTGTTGTTGGCAGATTGCTGCAACATTTGCATGGTCAGTGATTATTTGTCTGTAGTTTATTATGTAATATGTTAAAGCTAAATTATCCAGATGAATGACAAAGGAAAATAAATTGATCAAGTGTTTAACAGCAAGTCTAGTCTCAGACTTTGATTCATGGAACAAGGCCCAGCACGTCATTAAAACCATCCAGGTGAAGCTTCTCAGTGGATCCAAATGTTGATTTAGCATCTTCAGTGCTAATATTTGATGTTCTGTCACTGTCCAGTTCCAGCTACTCTGCTGTTTCATTTGTCTTGTTACCATGATTGATTAAATAAACACATGTTAAATTATCACATGTCAGCAGTTTCTCTGTTCAATGTTAGTTTCCAGTGTATGTATGGGAACATTCAGCAGCAAAATATATCTGAAATGCTGTTAAATGCGAAGACAACATGGAAGTAACTTGTAACTTTGCACATATAAAGATTAATGACAACCCCAGCCTGTGGTCCACATCACCACCACTGTCAAGATAAATAGATAAATAAATAGATATCCAGTAGCTCACACATACACATACATACAGCGAGGTAAAGAACAACGTACATGACATACAAATCATGCTCACTGAAGCAATCATGATAAGGTGCCTGAAAAAGCTGGTATTTACAGAAATGTGCAAAATTGTAAGTATTTACAATCAAGTGCACACATCTAGTTCTACTGATGATAGAGGCTTCAAAGGTTGGTGAAATGTCAATTGAGGCATGTATTTTGACAGGAAATGTAGACAAATTTTGTACTTTTTCCATTTTCAAGGACCAGTATTAAATCATTTGAATCTGCTGGAAGTGATTTAGTCTGTGTCCTCACCACGTTTCATGGGATTATATTAATAGAAACACTAAACGAGGGTAAAATTTAAGAATCTCCAGGTCTGAAAACATGAAGGTCTCAAAATTTTGCCGAAATATTTGACAGAATTCAGCTTTAGGTTCGACATAACAAATAACCCTCATGTCAAGCTTCACGTGTTTTATTCTGAAAGGGGAAAAACCAGCGCTGTGTGCAGCTTTACGCATGCGCCAACGTTCTCGTCCCCCATTGGCCGACGTCGTGACGCTGTACGTGCGTAGGCGCTTCCTCCACTTGACTCGCAGCAAAATAGAAGATGGTGAGTATGAAAATGGCGAAAAGGAAACGATTTGAGCCGTTCACAGGGCGAGTTTCGGACTGTCGATGTCGTGTTGGGCTATTTGTCGACGTGAGGAGGCCGACGTGGTGGTTTTTAGTGGCTCGTTTCAGCGTGTTTTGTAGAGAAGCTCCGCTCCGAGATGGATCAACGATCACATGACAGCTGAGCAGTTTAGTCCCCAAAAATTGACTGCAACAAGCTGCAACCGGCCCCAAAGTCACAGTTTCCTTCTGCACGACGGCCTCTGACGTTGTCCCGTTTGTTCATCAGCCACTCTTGTTGCCTGTTTAACTGGTATCTCGATATTTTTTCACTTTCCCCCCCAGTTTGGCACCCAGTTAGCTCGCAGGGCTAACAGGCTAACAGCTACCTGATCTTGTGAGGAGGCTCTTTCCTGTGCTGCAATAGTGATGTTTATCAGCCGGTTATTAACCACAGCTCTGACTGTCAGGCTTTAGTGTCTTAACTCTTTACAAGATAAACCAACCAGTGAGGTAAAGCTGTTTTTGAATTAGTTCTGCAGCTGCACATTCATTCATTCTCTGCCTTTTGGTTGTTGTGTAGTTTGGAGCCAAAGGTTAGTCACAATAAGAAGAAGTGCAGTTTAAATCAGAGTGTTGACAGATTACACTGGACTGTCCTACACAGGATAAATGCTTTAAAACGCAGCCTCTAGTTTAGGGAATCTTGATTCTGTTTGTGAAAATGTAGAAAAGGAGATTTCACATTACACCACGTCCACATCTAAAACCCCGACACACAGACGGGTCAAATCTGGAGAAAACAGTTTTAAAAAACAGAATTTCTGATTTTCTTTTTGTAAAAATGCAAAAAAGGGAAGCTGTCCCTACTTTTGTTACATGTAGACCACATCAGACCAGAATCACATCGAAATCCCCTACTTATAATCCACATTTTAAAACAATCAATTTCATAACTAACATAAAATCAGAGAAAATCATCCATACCTGAAGGTCGTTCCTCGTCCAGGACTGACCAGACTGAAGATTCTCTGATTTGTGAAACCTTTATTCTACTTGCAAAAGTGCAAAAAGAGGAGATTGGAGACCACATTAGACTTGGTCCAGATATGAACCTACTATATGCAGACAGGTCAAATCAGGACTAGAGAGGGTCGGTATTCTTTCAAACCAAGTCTCTGATTTGTGAAATCTCTCTTCTGCTTGTGTTAATGCTAAATAGGGAGGCTATACATCAGGGTTTTAGATCTGGATTTGGTCTAGTGTGGTTTACATACAACAGAAACTGAAATCTTGCTTTTTCTCACAAAAATAATAAATGCTTCTCAAATTGGAGACTTAGTTTTAAAGAGTCTTCAGCCTTTTTAGGACAAATTTTGATTTGATTAGTCCGTTTATATTGGTTTTAGTTTAGCTTTTGTTGCATGTAGACCACATTAGATCCAAAACCCTGACATATAATCTCCCTCTTCTTGTATTTACACAAGTAGAATAAAGATTTCACAATTCAGAGACTTTGTTTTGAAGGGAAACTATATATAGATTGTCCTACAGAAATCAAAGATTCCTTGAAACACAGCATCTATTTAGTAAAAGTTTTATTCTACTTGTGGAAATGCAAAAAATAGCAATTTTGCAGTTTTTATACCTGATATACATATAGACTGGTCAAATCTGCACTAGTCTACCCCACAGAGGTTAAAGAGTCTTTAAAATACAGAGTTTGTTTTGTAAAAACCTGTATTCTATTTGGGGTTAGCACCATCGCCTCGCAGCAAGAAGGTCTCCGGTTCACGTCCCGGTGAGGACACCCGGGATCTTTCTGTGTGGAGTCTCCATGTTCTCCCCGTGCAGCGTGGGTTCTCTCCGGGTTCTCCAGCTTCCTCCCACACAGTCCAGAAACATGCTGAGGTTAATTGGTGATTCTAAATTGTCCGTAGGTGTGAATGTGAGTGTGCTTGGTTGTCTGTCTCTAAGTGTAGCCCTGTGATAGACTGGTGACCTGTCCAGGTGAACCTGCCTTCACCCTGAGTCATCTGGGATAGACTCCAGCCCCCTTAGTGAGGATTAAGCGGTGTATAGATGATGGATGGATGTATTCTATTTGTGAAAATGCAAAAAACTGAGACTACATATCAGGATTTTAGGTCTACATCTGGTCTAATGTGGTTTACGTGCAAACAGAAGCCCACAAATCTTCCTTCTTAGCACTTTTAAAAGTAGAATGAAGGTTTCATAAATCTGAAAGTGAGTTTCAGTCAGCATTAAGAGTTCAGCTGAAATGTCTAACAACATTAAAATGTGGAAGAAACTGAGAATCGGTCCGTCAGCGCTCCAACTTTCTCTTAACTGCAGAATCAGAAGTGAACTTCGCTGTCGTTTTTTTTTTTTAAATCCACACATTTAGCTGATTGAACTTTGATTTGCTTCATCACGTGACTTTGCATCTGCTCACACTCGGTCAGGTGAATATTTATTTTGCTTCATCATCATCACTAACCATCGACCATTAACCGTTGATTCAACCACGTTGTCGTTTAACTTTTTCTTATTTGTTTTTGAATGATTAATATCTGTCGACTTAATCCATTCACTTTTTAATTTCTAATTTCAGTTTTCCCCTCTTGTCCCAACTCCTTCTTCTGTTTTTCTTTGTGTATCTTTCTTTTTTCTTTTTTCTTGTTTTCACCCCGATCTTTGATCACGCCTCGTGTCGTTCTCTCCACGCACATCCTGCCTTCCCTCCCTATCTCACCCGCCCTCACCCCTCTTTGCCTGTCTTCAATCAACCAGGCTGGTCACCGGGTAAGTGTTGTCGCTCTGTGCTGGATCCCTGTTTTCTGATCGCTCCTCCGCCTGCCTCACTAACACGGGATTTGGGTTTTGTGCAGCCGTGCAGGTCTGCGGTTTCTGCATCCGTCAGCACAACCGGCTGCTGCTATTTCAGCAACTGCAGTGCAACGATCTGATGCTTGAATTTCACCTGCTGTCAGCTGCCGTCCTAAACACACAAATACTAATTTACCCCAAATCGACAAAAAATAAGACGGAGAAGGAAACCTGAAGCTGGCGTGTTCGATTTCAAGAGTCTGTGTAGAAATCTGCAGGCTTTAAGGTCACGATACCTTCAATTTTTCACAAATTCATTTCATCTTTTTTTAGGACAACTAAACTTTATGAGCAGAGAAAATCCTCTAATTGGACGAGAGCTACAAAAAATACTTGATCTGTCGTCGACTTTTGTATTACAAGCTATTTTTAAACCGATTTGAGGTTTTTTTAGTAACAAAAAAGTCTAAATTCTCTGATTCCAGCTTGTTAAGTTTGAATATTTTCTGGTTTCTTTCCTCCTCTGTGACAGTAAACTGAATATCTTAGGTTTGTGGAAAAAAATACAAGACCCAAGAAAGTTTTTATCCTTGATATGACTTGAGCAGTTTTCGCACATTTATTGTAAACTCTATGTAAATGTATCCGAAATGAAATATCAAATATCAGCACCGACTTCCAAAGAGAAAGGTTAAATTAAAGAAATGTTCTTGTCACCTTTTCTTAAATAGAGCTGCAGTGATAAGGTGTCAACTATTTTGATAATCAGTTTTTAAGTAAAAACGTTCAAAGTCTGATTCCAACTTCTTATATTTGAATGTTTTCTCATTTGAAAATATAATGGTAAACGTGTTATCTTTGGGTTTTGGGAAACAATAGTCGGACATTTTATACATCAAATAACTAATCGTTCAATCAAGAAAATAATCAACAGATTAGTCTAAAGAAACGTCAGTTGCAGCTTTAGTTTGGACTTTTTTGAGGAAATCTAATCCAAGTCCAAGTTTACTGATTTATATTCAATTTAAGGCTGCAACTAATAATTATGTTCATTGTTGATTATTTTCTCGATTAATCAATTAGTTGTTTGATCTATAAATGGCCCAAAAAGGATGGAAATGTCAATCAGTAATTTCAAAAAGTCCACAACCCAAAGATATTCAGTTTTCTGTGACAGAGGTGGAAATAAACCGCAAAATATTTATATTAGGAAGCTGCAATCAGAGAATTTAAACTTTTTTCCCCCTAAAAATGACTCAAACTGATTAATCGTCTTTCAAAATAGTAATAATAATTAGTTTAATGGTTGATTGATTAATCGTTGCAGTACTGTTCTTGACAATACATATAAGTGACAGAAATGATTCCCCTGATTGCACAAATAGATTTCCTGGTTTGTCTCAGAGTTTGGTGTCTAACAGAACCTTAAAATGTTGATTTGTTGCTCAGCAGAGGATAATATTCTACCATAATCAATACTTAGAGCGTCTCTGCTGGCTGATGGACTTATAATGTGATTTGTGGGTTTCGTGTTTAGTGTAAATCTGTAGGTTTGTTGTTTCTTATTGACTTCTTGTGTTGTGTGAAAACATAATTATCTCTCTCTCGTCTGTCATTGACTGTCTGAAATCCAACATGGGTAGCTTTTAAATTATATAAGAGGCAACGTTCACCACCCAGTTTGAATTCAGACACTTAATGTGCCCAGATTTTTACTCACAAACGTTGCTTATTTTGCAAGTTTGAGCTTTGTGAATCATCCACTGTACTAAATTAATCCGGAGGAGGTGGTTGTTTAGTTGTAATAACAAAACTGGACATTTTGTGGCCTGTTTTAAAGAAGATTCAAAACAATTTAACAGTAACTAACTGAGGAGTTTGGTGTTTACGGTGGAGTCTGTTTGCATTATTCTCTGCTGCTGAATTGAGCGGCGGCGTCTCGCAGGGCTCCGTCCTCGGCCCGCTGCCCTTTTTCAGTTTTTGGATGCACAACTGGTTGCGGTCGAATAGTCAAAAACAAGCTTAAATCTTTTCCCCTGAACACTTTTCCTCGACCTTAAACCTCATGAGCTCAAGGAAAGGAGGGAGAATTAATGAAGACCACCAGGAAAAGACCACCACAGTGCTCCGAGACTCCAGCTTCACTTCATGCGACAGTAGATGTTGTTGATGTGGACGGTCCGTCTGGTCCTTTGGTAAAGGATAGACCACTGTATGTTGCGCTAAAGGAAACAAAAAAAGGAAGCATTGAAGCACCTTTTCTTAGCTTTTAGAGAATTCGACCAGCTCTTATCGTAACTGCTACTAAAGCCCCTTTCTTTTAATCTAATGATTTAATCTCTGAATGAACATCCGAAGCTGTAAAAGTCATGACGGCAATCTTACTACGTCGGTTAAGCTCCACACTTGAAGTGGTATGGATTGATTTAGAGAAGCATTTTTCCACATTTTAGCACCAATATTGGTCCTAAAACATCACAGAGATCAAAAGAGTCATAATTTGCTGCCCAAATCAAAACAACACATTTTCAGTTTAGTGTAACTTTACTGTGATAAAGACAGTCTGTAGCCGGTCAGATTAATATGATGAACGTAATCCAGGTTTTGATTCGCTATGTCTTCGGGTTGAGTTGATATATTAATTTTGCTGTTGGATTATGATCACACATGGGCAGCATTTTTAATGTTTAGGAAATCCTAAATAAACTAGGCTTGTAGTTGATGTTCCGTCCAGGCTTGTGTGTATAATAAATATGGTGCCGTTGGTGTCTCCGTCACTGTGGTGGGAATGTTTCATGATGGACCCAGAAATTCTACGTATCTGATTGTCTGAAAAGGGCTTTAGATACGTCCGGGTCACTTCACTCAGTCAACAACTTTCCCACTAATCTTAAAAATGACTATTTGACCGCACGCTGAACTCTCCCATGGCCGGTTCTGACCCGTCTGTTGTCTGTGCGATGCTATCAGTTGGTCCTGGTGTTAGGTGACCTGCACATCCCCCACCGGTGCAACACGCTGCCAGCCAAGTTCAAGAAGCTGCTGGTACCGGGGAAGATCCAGCACATCCTCTGCACAGGGAACCTCTGCACCAAGGAGAGCTATGACTACCTGAAAACGCTCGCCGGCGACGTCCACATAGTCCGAGGAGACTTCGACGAGGTCTGTAGGCAATTGTAGACGACAGTAGAAGAACTTATAGCCTGTTTACACCCCATAATACAATGAAACAACAAGACGTGGGACTTTAAATGCAAGAGACAAACATAACGTGAATACAGCAGCTCATTAGGAAACCCCAGGCCGGGATGGAAAACAGTTGTAGTTTTGCAGGATGCGTGTTTCCTTTTAAAGTCCATGAAAATGTTAATTTGCAGAATTTCCAATCAGGGGTTCAAAGGGTGCAGACGGGGCGACAAAGGCTCTAATTTATGTGGCTGAATATTTAATTTGAAAGACGAACGAAGTGGATCTCTCGCTGATACCGAAGACTAATTGCTGTGTAATTAAATTCTAATTGCGCCTCCGCACACGTTGAATTTTAACTGCCTGAAGCCACGATTTTCTAGATTGGTCACATGGAGGAGCCGACAGCGTTTAAAGGGTTAAAATAGTGAAAATAAATGATTTGTAGTTGTGATCAGAACTGAAAGTGGAAATTAAAGTCAATATGTTAGATTTTTATTGCAGGTTTTTTACAGGAACAATTTTGTCCATGAGTTAAAAATAATAATAATAATAATAATAATGCAGAATCAATGCTATTGCTAATATCGACACATTGCAGACTGATAATAGCACTTATATAGAAAATATTGATTGCATTCTTCCATAAAAGACAGTGCTGGCGTAATATAAAACAAACATTTTGGGGTTAAAATACTGAAAACTAATATTAATAAAACAAAAAATAACAATGTTCAAGTTGTGAAAGTGGAAAATAATATTGACGTGTGTACAATATTTTAATGGCAGGTGTTTTGATGCAGATGTTTTAGTCGTTGAGTGTGAGTTTTTTTAAAATAAAATGTGTTGCTAATGATTTGAATATTCTCGACTGATAATCCTAAAAAAAATCTATTTGCTTTGATTATATGAAAAATATTTAATTTCCTTTTTTTTTCTAAAAACAACAAAAAAACATGTAAACAAACCGTTTGAAGGAGAGAAATCCTAAAAGTTAATGATGTTTGCTGAAAAAACGTACTCAGTGAAAGTGGAAAATATTAATATATAACATTTTTGAAGCAGACATTTTTGTCCTTAAGGTCCTTTAGGAGGTTTTTAAAAAATCTGGAGCTCCACAAAAGATGATAATCCATCAGAACCAAGATCCCTAAAAGATCCTCTCACATTTGTTATGTGGAAAATAATTTGGTGTTTTTGTTTTTAATTACAAAAAATCTGTTATATTATGTATACAAACTGCCATGTAAAGTGTTAAAGTCCTAAAAATAACAAATGAATTCAACTTCTCACATGTTTCCTCTTGTCCCGTCAGAACCTGAACTACCCGGAGCAGAAGGTGGTCACGGTGGGCCAGTTCAAGATCGGCCTGATCCACGGCCACCAGGTGATCCCGTGGGGCGACATGGCGAGCCTGGCGCTACTCCAGAGGCAGCTGGACGTCGACATCCTCATCTCGGGACACACGCACAAGTTCGAGGCGTTCGAGAATGAGAACAAGTTCTACATCAACCCCGGTTCTGCCACCGGAGCCTACAGCGCACTGGAAAAGTAGGAGGGCTCAGAGAAACCACATCTGTCCTTTATGTTTTTACAGCTTCGACTTCTACGACGTGTGCTTTAATTCTTTAATGAAAAATCACACATGTTGGTTTCATGCCATTTGTAGCGTGTTCCTAACGAGCAGATCAGATTCAACATCGCTCACCAGAAAAAGAAAAGTCTGAGACACTGCAGCAATTATTCACAGAAACGTACACAGAATCTGGTGCTGCTGATGATTTGAGTTTATTCCAGACAAATGGTTTACTCACCATTATGGCGTCAGGATACCAGAAATCATTTGTCAGGACTAATCTCATTGATTCTTCTGAAGCCAAAAAGGTTTAAACAACCTGTTAGCTTTTTAAAAATCACCAACATGACACCAGTTATCACAGCTGGAAACGGTAGAAACAGAAAATATGAGGGTTGATTTTCAGCTTTCAGACGACACGAGCATCTGTCGGAAAAATTTAACAAATCCACGCCTAAAATCACTTTATAATACCTGTTTGGTTTAAGAAGTTTCCACGAATAGTTACTATTCTTTTGTTTGTGTGTGAGAAAAAACTGTTGGCTGGATGTAAAACCTTGACTTAAGATTATTTTCATGTCTAAACTAAATTAACTCTCTGAATTCCAAAACCTGCCATCAGGTTAGAAAAGGCATGTTACGTTAAAAAAAAATTAAATAAAAGAAATAACCAAATCACACCATTTTTCAGAGCCAGAAGCTGCAAAAATGGAAAGAATCATCGGATTGTTAACTTCCGGACGGTCCCTGAACTACTCAGCTGTTGAAATCTGAAATCTAGCCTTAAAATCAGAATATTTCATCAAACTTGCTCAATTAAAAAAATTTGCTAAAAATAAACCGTTTACTTTAATTAAATTCTGTAAAAGTCTAAAAATTCTACGTTCCCTCACGCAACCAGGAAGCCGTGAGTGACTCAGCTGAGACCAACAGCCACGGGACAAAAATTAAGTTTTTGGCTGAACTGCAGGCAGTGTTATACACAGAGCAGTGAGAAGTCAAGAATTAAAACTAAATATTTATAGTGTAGAGCGCCAACGTTTTTTTCCCAGTGCTAGTTAACACCTGCAGGCAAAAATGTAGGGTGCATTTTTTTTTTTCGTATTTATGGTGTTCTAACCATAGTGACGAAAAATGTAACAGGAGCAAGAAAATGTCAGTCAGTTTACATAATTTACAACGAAAACATATCTTCTCTCTCTGTCTTATATTGCTTCTCCACTTCTGGATCGAGGTTTAAAGATATTCGTTTGTGAGACTCATGCGTCCACATCAGTGCAGTGGAGTTAAATTCTGTTACTGCATTTAAAACTGACATTTAACTTTAGGGAGCAAACATGACTGTGGATTTGTCTGAAGCGGAGGCGTTTGCAGGTGTTGACGGTCTTTTCAGCGTGACAGGTGTAACGGTAGAAGCAGACCGACTACGGTTACAGGTGCAGGAAAAAGCCTCGGCCTGAACCACATCTGTCTTCTCCCCTTACAGCAACATCATCCCCTCTTTTGTATTAATGGACATCCAGGCGTCCACGGTGGTGACGTACGTCTACCAGCTGATCGGCGACGACGTCAAGGTGGAGCGAATCGAGTACAAGAAATCTTAAAGGAGGAGGAGGAAGAGGAGGAGGAGGAGAGTCGGGTTATCAAGGCTCAGTGTATCGTTTCATTCCTGTCCACCGGGGGGCGCCAGCTCCCTCAGAGTCACCACAATGTTAATGCTGTAACAAACTGTTCAGTCACTTAACTCTAAAAGACCCGTGTATTATATTGTTTATACGTCATCAGCATTCGCTTGTACCCGAGCTGTCGTTTGGTAACTGTAGAGAATGAGATAATGTCACATGTTTTTGCTGTCAAAAAGGAATATTTGGTGCCATTTTCTTTCATTCTCCCCCCCTCTCCTTTTTTTCAGTTTTTTTTTTTTTTTTTAAAATTTTGAAATTTTCACCTTCATGTAACCAACAGGCCTTTTAGCTTCATCTAGTCGGCCTTATTTCATTCATTTCTGTCCCAAAATAAAGATGTTATTTCACTTCATCTGCTGCTGTACACTTCAATGACCAACTAATACCTGTACTTATACACTTCTGTACTATTTAACCCCAACCTATAAGAAGTATTCAAAGTATTCTTGGAAGTTTTCACCTTTAATTGCTTGAAAACGCTACATTGTGGTCACTTTAATTTGGCTTTTTTGGCAAAAAATCAAAAAAAAAAATTCCTAAAAAGTAAAGTGAATTAATTAAAAATATTAAATATGTGTTTGCTCAAGTATTTTCCCTCTTTAAAGTGACTCACCTAATTCAACACAGGTATTTAGTGCTACAAATCATAAAGTTAGTTAAACAAAGATCATGTGAGGTCAGTGAATGTGTCTCAGTGATTGTAGTATAAAGACTCCTGTATCTGGAAGGTCCAGCCACTGGTGGATCCTGGA